TGCTCGGGGAGGCGCAGGGAACGCTGCTGCTGCTGCAGCGGGCGAGGGGGAACGCTTCAAAGGCTGGGGGAGATAAGACTGAGGGAGATAAGAGTGAATTCCGGGGGGAAGGAGGCAGGGGAGAGCGGCGCTCCCACGTGCGGGGTAGGCATGACTGCGCTGACGAGATGCCATTCATTTTTTTCCCCCCTCTCCCTGCACAAGCCCGAGTGGGTGAATCCACGTGTTCTCCCCCATCCCGGGGTTCAGCCCGTGCTGTTTGTCGGGATCTGCCCCCCAGGACCCCCCGCGCTGCCAGGCGCTGCTCTGGGTGATGCCACTGTGGCCATTCCGGGATTCCCTGATCCAGGGGGAGCTGGAAGCCCCTGGAAGGGTCACAGATCCACTCGGGGAGGGGACACAGGGCTCATGCCCACAAAAGACCCTTGGAAGGCTGGTTTGCTGCAGGCACAGAGCGACAGGGACACCTCTGTCTTCTGTGGCTCTCTGTGCTCGCTAATTGATCGGGGTAATCACCTCCAGGGGCTCTGGGGACAGCCAGGCCACACCGAGGACACCGTGACCCCACCCGCAGGTCCAGTCACCCCTCTCACTGTCAGCTCACAGGTTGGACTCGATCTCAAAGGTCTTTTTTTTTTTTCCTGTACTTTTGTGACCTCTGAGCAGTGCTCTCCAGCTGTGCACCCACAGCTGCCCACGGGACACCCCCACTTTCCCTCCCTGCGCTCTCAGTATCATTCACATTTATTTTTTGCCTTCACAAGACGCCTGCTCTGACCCAGCCAAACTCCCCTGAAACACCCAGCCCCGATATATCCACGCGGCTCTCGTGTGTGGATGTCCACAGTGACAGGGTTTGGTGGCCCAGCAAACGCCTCAGCATCCCCGCGTGGCACCCAGGGAAGGTGTTGAACAGCAAAGGGGACAGCTCCGACCCCTCTCGGGGTCCTGTGCCCTCCCAGCTCGGCTGGCTCCTCTTTTTGCCGCCGTTGCCCGTGAATTCCAACTCCCCCACTGCTTTCCAAGTGTTCATTTTAAGAGGGAAGGAGAAGAAAAACGTGCCCAACCCTCTCGGGCGTGCGTGGGAGGGCTGGGGTTGATGGAAACGCCTCCTGCCAAGAGGCTGGAAAGTCCCAGCGCTGCCTCCCCGCTCCTCCATCTCCCACGGGCACCCAAAAATCCACGGGCACGTCTGCCCGAGGGGCAGCGAGTAGCTCCGACCTCTTCAGGGGCTCAAACCCCCCTGGGTGCGTGTAAACCCCACTGGGGGAAAATAAATGTACAGGGATGGCTGTGGGTGCGTGTAAACCCCACTGGGGGAAAATAAATGTATCAGGAAGTGTCACAGCCCGGGGATGGGATGGGCTGAGCGTAGAGCGCTGCCGGGGATGCTGTGACCACAGGTGGCACCTGTGTCATTGTCACCTGTGTCATTGTCACCTGTGTCGTTGTCACAGCGCCTTCCACCCCCGCAGGCGCCGGCACGGGCTGTGCGGGGACAGTTCTGGGGACAATTGTGAGGACAATGGTGGGGACAGTTGTGGCGATAATGGTGGGGACAACGGTGGGGATAATGGTGGGGACAGTCGTGGGACAATCATGGAGACAATTGTGGGGACAGTGGTGAGACAACTGTGGGGACAATGGTGGGGATAATTGTGGGGGAAATTGTGGGGACAGTTGTGGGGACAATACTGGGGACAACGGTGGGGACAGTGGTGAGAACAATGTGGGGACAATGGTGGGGATAATTGTGGGGGAAATTGTGGGGACAGTTGTGGGGACAATACTGGGGACAACGGTGGGGATAATGGTGGGGACAATGTGGGGACAATGGTGGGGATAATTGTGGGGATAATTGTGGGGACAATGGTGGGGATAATTGTGGGGAAAATTGTGGGGACAATTCTGGGAATGATTGTGAGGACAGTTGTGGGGACAATGTTGGGGATAATTGTGGGAACAGTGATGGGGATAATTGTGGGGATAATTGTGGGGTCAATTCTGGGAACAATTGTGGGGACAATGGTGGGGATAATGGTGGGGACAATTCTCCGGACAGGACCATTGCGGGGACAATTCTCGGGACCATTTTCGGGACAATTCCGGGGACAATTGTCGTACAACTGTGGGGACAATGGTGGGGATAATTGTGGGGATAATTGTGGGGACAATGGTGGGGATAATTGTGGGGAAAATTGTGGGGACAATTCTGGGAACGATTGTGGGGACAGTTGTGGGGACAATGGTGGGGACAATTCTCCGGACAGGACCATTGCGGGGACAATTCTCGGGACCATTTTCGGGACAATTCCGGGGACAATTGTCGTATCGCCCGCAGCCATCCCTCTCCTCCTTGTGCGGTATCAGCAGCTTCCCGGCAGCCGCCATTTTCGGGACAATTCCGGGGACAATTGTCGTATCGCCCGCAGCCATCCCTCTCCTCCTTGTGCCGTCTCTGGCCTTTCTCGCTTCTCTTAATCTCCCAAAAATGGATTTGGGGATTTGGGGATTAGGCTGGCGATCTGTCCTCCCCCCGCCCTTCATCCATCGCGCTCCTCGGGCACGGGGAGAGGAAAACAAATAAAGGGAGGGATGAGAGCAGGTGGGGCTGGGAGCAGCCAGGAATGGGGAAGGGGAGTGGGAAAAGAGAGGAATGGGAAAGAAAGGAGGCGGGAAAGAGAGGAGTGAGAAAAGAGGAGTGGGGAAAGAGGAGTGAGAAAAGAGGAGTGGGAAAAGAGAGGAATGGGAAAAGAAAATGGGGAAAGAGGGGAGTGGGGAAAGAGGAGTGAGAAAAGAGGAGTGGGAAAAACGAGTGGGAAAAGAGAGGAATGGGAAAAGAGAAATGGGGAAAAGAGAGAAGGGGGCAAAGAGGATTGGAAAATGAGGATAGGAAAAGACGAGTGGGAAAAGAGAGGAGTGGGCAAAGAGAGGAATGGGAAAGAGAGGAGTGGGAAGAGAGGGGTGGGAAAAGAGAGGCCTGCCTCTGTGACTGAGGACAGGGCAGTGAGGGAGTGCTGCACAGCGTTCCTGCACCCCTCCACCATCCAGCCCTCTCCCATCCCCAGTTTAACCCCCAAATTCCCGCTTGGACCACCGGAACTGGGCCTGGGGAGCTCTGGAGCACCCAGTGGGAGCTCTGAGCTGCTCCAAGCACAGCACGGAGCAGAAACCTTCCCTCCCTCCTCCTCCTCCTCCAGCGCAAACAGGACCCAGCTCATTTTATTTCCGTGCCTTCCTCCTCCTCATCGCTAATTACCGAGATGGATCTGGTCCCCATTAGAGCCGAGCGTGGCGGAGGCCACCAGGAGCTGGGGCTTTATTTTATTTATATTTTCCCCTCACAACAAAGCGGGGGAGCCCCGCGTACCTCTGATGGCAGCACTCAGCGCTCGCAGGGCCTCTCGTCCCCCATTAGCGCTAATTAAGCCTCGCGGAGCCCCTTCTCAGGCAGTTAAGAGGAGCGCTGGGAAGTGGGGAGGGATGCGGGAGAGGCTGTGGAGCCGGGATCTGTCCAGGAAAAAGCGGGAGATGCGGGCTCCTGTTGGGATCACACCTAAAAATCGCCACAGATCCCTTTTCCTCCTCCGGGCGTTTTTAGAGAACTTTCCTGGCTTTATCCAGGATGGATAAAAATCCACTGAGATTAATGAAATATTCCATAAAAGCCATGTAAATTAATAATACATTAAAGCCATTTCAAGCCATTTCCTGGCTTTATCCCAGGTGGTCCCAAGCACAGCCAGTGCCCGACCACCCTCTGGGGAAAGAAGAGCCTTTCCCTGATGCCCAGCTGGATGTGTGGGAATGTGGGAATGGGGAATGTGGGAATGGGGAATGTGGGAATGGGGAATGTGGCAATGGGGAATGTGGGAATGGGATGTGCCTTCCTGGCACAGCGCTCTGGGTGCTGTCCTGTCCATGTGTTTGAGGGTCCCAGGATGAGGGAAGAGATGAATCTGACTCCATACTGGATGGGGCTTGGAGCAACCTGGGAGAGTGGGAGGTGTCCCTGCCATGGCAGGGGGCTGGAATGGGATAGGCTTTAACAGCATATGGCCAGAAGTGCCATATTATTTCATTTATTTATTATTTATTTTTCTGTTTATAAATGTTATTTGTTATAGTATAGATATAATTATATACCCTATATTCTATAATATAGAATATATAATAGATATTATATTATATTATATTATATTATATTATATTATATTATATTATATTATATTATATTATATTTATTATATTATATTTATTATATTATATTTATTATGTTATATTTTAAAAGTGCTATGCTGAACTATAGGGAGAAAGGAATACATCAGAGGACTGGGAAAGGAGTGAAAATAAAAACCCGTGACAGACTCAGCGAGTCTGACACAGCTGTGATTGGTCATTAAGCAAAAACAATTCACATGAGAGCGATCAAAGGTGCACCTGTTGGTAAACAACCTCCAGACCCCATTCCACAGCAGCAGAGAGTTGTTATTTACTTTTATTTTCTGAGGCTTCTCATCTTCTCAGGAGAAAAATCCTGGCAAAGGGATTTTTCATAAAAATATCACAGTGACAGTTCAGCCTTTTCATACAATTAAAATTTTTTTTTAATTGTGTTTGTAACCCTTCTGCTTGGCCCTTGCAGAAGAGAGAGCAAACATCTCAAGAGGTTTATCTGTTGCCAATCAAAACCTCAGTCAAGTGCTGATGTGGAATGATCAAGGAGATTCTTCACCTGTAGAGCATCAAACCCTACCATATCCCTAAAACAAAGCTTACAATATAAGAAAATGCAAAAAACCCATGAAAAAAAAAAATGTCCATTGCTAACATCTCTTTTCTGAGGCTCCTCAGGATTAAAATCCTGGCGAAGGGATTTTTCATAAAGACATCACCGTGCCACTGTCCCTGTCACACAGAGCCCGGTCACACCCCCGGCCCGGCTTCTCTGCCACCCTCGGGTGGCCTCTCCCGCTCACGCCGTGTCCCCGTGTCCCCAGGCTCGCCGCTCCCGGCCGCACGGAGGGCTCTGCTATGATCTGGCGGCGCCGGGAGCAGCATGGGCAGCGTCAGCAGCCTCATCTCCGGCCACAGCTTCCACAGCAAGCACTGCCGCGCCTCGCAGTACAAGCTGCGCAAGTCCTCGCACCTGAAGAAGCTCAACCGCTACTCGGACGGGCTGCTCCGCTTCGGCTTCTCGCAGGACTCCGGCCACAAGTCCGGCTCCAAGAGCAGCAAGAATGAGGATTTCTTTTACATCAAGGTCAGCCAGAAGGCGCACGGCTCGCAGCGGGAGCTGGGTGTGCCCGCCGGGACCAGCGGGCTGGACTTCGGGACGCCCACGCCGCAGAAGCTGATGCCCTTCCCCGGCCAGCTGGAAGTGGTGAGTGTGGAAAAGCGGCCCTGGAAGCGGGGGGGATGTGCCGCTGTCCCCAAAGTGTCTGCAGGTGCCACCACGGGGTTGTTGTGTTGGTTGTGGTGCCTGAGGAAGCTCGGGGAGAGCAGGGGCAGCTGGGGGCACTCTGCCACCTCTGCTGTCGGGAGTTTGGATCGGCAACAGGAGCCGGTTTGGATCCTTTAATTTCCAAACCCAGTTTTAGCCTGCAGCTTCCCCCGAGCCCCGAGGGGACTGTCCCACTGCAGGGGTGCCATCCCGGGGGGCAGAAGGGGCGGGAGGACACTCAGAGCTCGCTCGGTGCTGACGGGCTCTGCTCTCCCCAGCAGGGTGGGGACAAGCCGCTGCCTCGCCCCACGGCCTTCAAGCCGGTGCTGCCGCGCTCGGGGGCCATCCTGCACTCATCCCCCGAGAGCGGGGGGCCCCTGGGCCAGCAGCTGCACCCCCCGGAGAAGGGCAAGGAGCAGGAGCTGCGGCCGCTGCCGTGCTCGGGGGGCCTGTCCGACTCCGGCCGCAACTCCATGTCCAGCCTGCCCACGCACAGCACCAGCAGCAGCTACCAGCTGGAGCCCCTGGTCACCCCCATGGGCCCCATCAGCCGCTTCGGGGGCTCTGCCCACAACATCCTGCAGTGCGCCATCATCCAGGACAGCAACATGATGAGCCTCAAGGCCATGTCCTTCTCCGACGGCGGCAACAAGATCCTGAACCCCGGCAAGGCCCCCCAGCACCGCGCCGCCGCCGAGAAGAGCGTCTGCGTGCGCTCGCCCATCGCCACGGATGAATCCACCATCCAGGAGCTGGAGCAGAAGCTGCTGGAGAGGGAGGGCGAGCTGCAGGAGCTGCAGTCGAGCTTCGAGGAGAAGGAAATCAGCTCCTGCCAGGCCTACGAGGAGAAGCAGCGGCGCTGCAAGGAGGAGCTGGAGGGGCTGAAGCAGAAGTGCAACAGCAAACTCAAGCAAACCTCGCAGAAGACGCAGCGGACGCAGCAGGTGCTGCACCTGCAGGTGTTCCAGCTGCAGCAGGAGAAGCAGCAGCTGCGGGAGGAGCTGGAGAAACTCATGAAGGAGCAGAACCTGCTGGAGACCAAGCTGAGGTCCTACGAGAAGGAGAAGACCAGCTTTGCCCCGGCGCTGGAGGAGACGCAGTGGGAGGTGAGAGGCAAAAGGGGGAGCAAGGAGCAAGGGGGGCGTGGAGGGGGAGAGCTCAAACCCCCCAGCCCTTCCCATCCCATCCCATCCCATCCCATCCCATCCCATCCCATCCCATCCCAGGCTGTAGGAAATGGATGTGAAATCCCAGCAGAGCCCCAGGGGAGTGGGATTGAGGCTCTCACTGCCCCCCTGAACCCCTCCCCTCACCCAGGGGAACAAGCACAGCACAAACCCCTCAGGCGTTAAAATAACTCAGCATTCCTGGCCTCCAGCTCGGGTTTTCCTGCCCCACAGGAGCTGCAAAGCTGCCTTCCCTTAAGGAAATGGGAATTCCTTGGGCTTGCCACGGCCATTTGTTAGGGAGCAGTAAAACCTTCCACTCTCTGCTTAATGTTAATTTACTCACTCCTTGGTACTGCTGAGCAAACACTGTTAATCTGCTGGAAATTCCAACGTTTAGGAAGAGGAATATTAATTACAAATTAATAGTAATAATAAAAAAAATATAATATGTAATGTTATTTAATGTAATATTAATTATAAATAATACTTGTAATTAAATTATAATTCTAAAAAGTAGTGGTTAAAAAGTTAAATTCAGGGTCCATAATTCTAAAAATTAGTGGTAAGAAAGTTAAATTCGGGGTCCATAATTTTAAAAAATAATGGTAAGGAAATTAAATTCAGGGTCCATAATTAAAAAAATAATGGTAAAGGAAGTGAAATTCAGGTCCATAATTTTAAAAATTAAGGGTAAGAAAGTTAAATTCAGGGTACATAATTTTAAGAAATAATGGTAAGGAAGTGAAATTCAGGGTCCATAATTTAAAAAAATAATGGTAAGGAAGGTAAATTCGGGGTCTCCACGTGCTGCACCCAGCTGTGCCCGGCTCACGGGGGTACCCTGCCCTTCCCCACGGTCCAGCCCTCACTCAGGTGTTCTCCCCCCCAGGTGTGCCAGAAATCCGGGGAGATCTCGCTGCTGAAGCAGCAGCTGAAGGAGTCGCAGACCGAGCTCACCACCAAGACCACGGAGATCCTGAGCCTGAAGGCGCAGCTGAAGGAGGTGAGGCTGAAGATGGAGGGGCTGGAGATGAAGAGCCAGGAGCTGGAGGCGTCGCTGCGCACCAAGGCCATGGAGCTGGAGGTGTGCGAGAACGAGCTGCAGCGCAAGAAGAACGAGTCGGAGCTGCTGCGGGAGAAGGTGAACCTGCTGGAGCAGGAGATCCTGGAGCTGCGCTCCGAGCTGGCCGCGCTCCGCCAGCAGCTCAGCGAGGCCCGCGAGGGGCCCCGGCCGGGCGGGGACGATGCCCAGGCCCTGCAGGGGCAGCTGGAGAGGCTGCGGGCCGAGCTGAAGGCGGAACGCGACAACAACGAGCAGATGAGCTGCAGCTTCCAGCACGAGCGGCAGACGTGGAAGGAGGAGAAGGAGAAGGTGATCCACTACCAGAAGCAGCTGCAGCAGAGCTACCTGCACATGTACAAGAGGAACCAGAGCCTGGAGAAGATGCTGCAGCAGCTGGCGGCGGGCGAGGACGGCAAGGAGCCCATCGAGCTGGAGATCCCCGGCGCCGACGTCCCCTACGAGGACATCATCGCCACCGAGATCTGAGCCGCCGTCCCCGCCCCGCAGCCGAGCCGAGCCGTGTCCCCCCCGTCCCTCCGTCGTGTTCCAGAGGTGACCAAGCCACTCGTGCCAATGGTGACGTGCCCGCAGCTCCCCCGCCCCGGCACCGCCCCGGCACTGCCCCCTCTGCCCCCGGGCAGGGATCAGGACTCCAGGGAATTCTCTGCCATCCGTGCCCAGCGCCCAGGGGATGCTCTGCTCCAGGCTTGGGGAACCCGGCCTGGCCCCGCTCTGGGGGTGGCACAGCTCCAGGGATGGCACAGATCCGAGGATGGCACAGCTCCAAGGATGGCACAGCACAGTCCTGCCCGCTGATGGTGACAGGAATCAGCCCCAGTGTGTGCCCAGCTCCGGGGGTGGCACAGCTCCAAGGATGGCACAGCTCCAAGGATGGCACACAGTCCTGCCCGCTGGTGATGGCAGGAATCAGCCCCAGTGTGTGCCCAGCTCCAGAGATGGCACAGCACATTCCTGCCCGCTGATGGTGACAGGAATCAGCCCCAGTGTGTGCCCAGCTCCAGGGATGGCACAGCACACTCCTGCCCACTGATGGTGGCAGGAATCAGCCCCAATTTCCTGGAGGAAGCTCCCACTCCTCCTCACCCTCTGTCAATGCCAATCCCAGGGCGCTGTGGGAGCACAGAGCCACCTCCTGCCACTGCCACATCCACCCCTGCCAGCCCCGAGGGCCTCAGGAAGGTCCCCAGCTGCTCACACCCCCCTGGTACAGCCCAACTCCATGAAATCACCCTGAAATCACCCTGAAATCACCCCGAAATCACCCCGAAATCACCCTGAGATCCCCGTTCAGCCCGAGCACAGCCCCCCTGCACCATCACCCTGAAATCACCCCGAAATCACCCCGAAATCACCCCGAGATCCCCCTCAGCCCGAGCACAGCCCCCCTGCACCGCACCCACAGCCCTCCCTGTGCCCAGCATTCCCAGCTCCCCCAAGGACTCTGTCCCTGCTCCCGGCTGCCAGCCAGCAGCTGCATCCAAGGATTCCCAAATGTCCCAGCCACGGTGTGACCAAGGAAGGGGGTTTGTGTTCACCCCTGCACTCGCTAGGGCTGTCCCTGGCTGCCTTATCTCCTCCTGTGCCCTGATCCCAGGGATCCGGCCAAGGGGAGCTGTTAAACACCCCAAACCAACCACTTCCACCTTAATTTCTACCCCAGCTCTTAAAAGTTCCTCCTGCCACCAGCGAGTGGCTCCACAGATAATGAGGTGGCGCTGCTGGTGACCCTCGTGTCCCCCTGGCTGGGGAGGGAACCAGCAGGACCCCGTTTGTGGGGTGGGGGCTCCAGGGGACCCCTCTGTGCCAGTGCAATGATATTTTTGCTGCAATTATTTACCCACTGCCCCATCCCAGGGCTCTTGGGAGGGTTTCTTGCACAGTCCCAACACTGCCAATTTGGCCATGGGCTCTGAGCTGTGCAAAATTCCGAGTCCCTCGTGCCACTCCAGCCTGGAAATGTGACACACAGGAACCAACCAGTCTGTGCCTTCTGCGCCCGGCCCTGAGCACCCCAAACCACTGCCCCAGCTCTCCTGGCTGGGTCTGGCACTGCCCAGCCAGTCCTGGCACTGCCTGGCCACTCCTGGCACTGCCCAGCTGGTCCTGGCACTGCCCATCCAGTCCTGGCAGTGCCTGGACAGTCCTGGTACTGCCCAGCTGGGACTGGCACTGCCTGGCCACTCCTGGCACTGCCTAGTCAGGTCTGGCACTGCCCAGCTGGTTCTGACACTGCCCATCCAGTCCTGGCACTGCCCAGCCAGTCCTGGCACTGCCCAGCCACTGCTGGCACTGCCCAACCATTCCTGGCACCGGCACAAGCGATGCTCACCCCCAGCCCGCTGGAAAAGCCAACCTGAGGCTCCTGCGGATGCCCCCGGTGCCAGTCCCAGTCCCAGTCCCTGCCCTGCCCAGCCCAGCCCAGCCCTGCCCAGCCCAGCCCTCCCCTGCCAAAGGATGTTCGGAAAGCTGAAGGATTGGGGATGGCGAGGCCAGGAGAGATTTCGTGCACCCCCCGATCCCGGGAGGGATTTTGTGCACCCCCCCCAAAACCGGGAGGGATTTCTTGCACCCCCCAAAGCCGGCAGGGATTTCGTGCACCCCCCAAAACTGGCAGGGATTTCGTGCACCCCCCAAAGCCGGCAGGGATTTCTTGCACCCCCCAAAGCCGGGAGAGATTTCGTGCACCCCCCGATGCCAGGAGGGATTTCGTGCACCCCCGATGCCGGCACAGCCCCGCCCGGCGCTCTGCGCCCGGAGCCGAGGGAGCAGAGCCCGACCCGACCTCGCCCCACCGCGGCAATTCCCCACTCCTGACCCGGTGGCACCGGCCCTGTCCCCGTCCCTGTCCCCAGGCGTGTCCCTCGGTCCCCCAGCTCTGTGATGTGATCTCCAGAGGCCTCGCCGTGCTGCCTTTGCACAACCGCGCTGTGTGTGCCCGTCGCATTCCAGGTGTGTCGCTCCAGGCCCCGGCCTGGACAGAGAATTATTTTTCTGCAGGTTTTCTTTTTATTTTTTTTGGTTTCGTTTATTTTTTTTTTTTTGGATGTTCTTTCTGGTGACTGATGTAAACTACTGGTTAATTTTATGGTTTTATTTATAAATAAATTTTTTAAAACTTCCCCAGCCTCTCTCTGCGGGTGCTCGGTGGCGATTTGAGGATTTTCCGTGCCTGAGCCACCAGAATTTATCACAGCCCACCAGGGTCCCCTCTGGGGACATCCTTGCACCTGCCCTGCTTTTTCCAGAGTTATCTCTGCTCTGCAGCTGGGATAACCCGAGCAGGGAGAAGCAGGGATTGGGCTCGGGTGGATCAGGGAGGGTGGGATAATCCACCCTGCAGGTGGGCCTGGATTTCACCCCAGCATCCCTGAGCAGGCAGGGCCCGACCCCGAGGAGATCCAGGGAAAACAATTCCCGAGGGGGAGCTGGAGCGTGGCTGCTGGAACAAACCCGAGCTCGTATTTTGACTGTTTCAGCTGTTTTGCTCCAAACCAAATCAACTCTGCGAAAAAACAGCGTGGGGGGAGGTGAAGGGGGAGGTTTGGGCAGCAGAAAATGGGGAAAACTCTCCAATTTCAGGAAACTCAGCTCATTCTGCCTGCAGGGGGTGGATCTGGGCACCCCAAAAAGGCACCTGGCACCTGCTGCTGCTTTCCAGGGAAATTTGGCTGTGCTCCTGCTGCCCCAGGAGTGAGGGAAAGTGATTTTTAGAGTTTATTGATTTTTAGTTTGTTTTGGAACTGCTGGGGAGGAGGGGACAGGAATTGCCCCCCATGAGGGCTCTGTGCCTGAGGGTCCCTCCTGTCACAGCCAGCCCAGCCCTTCCCAGCCCTTCCTTCCCGGGAATCCAGGCAAGGCAGCAGCAAGGAGAGCCCTGAGCCCCCAGCTCTGCCCGGGAGAACTGCCAGGGGACATCTCTGTCCCTCAGAGGTCACAGCCCAGCTCAGCAGGGCCAGGAGGAGCCAGGCCAGGGCCAGCAGGGACAGCAGCACCCCCGAGGGCACAAACAGCCCAGGGAATTCTTAGGAGTGCCAAAACCTCTTCACTGGCGACACAAAATCCCAGCCCTGAGGGCTCTGGGCTGCTTCTCCCAAAAGCGGGTGATGATCCTGCCCATTTTCCAGCAAACCCCTCCTGAAGCTGTGGCTGAGCTGTGCCAGCCTTGGCACAAACCTGGCAGGGGACAGCACCAGGATGTGAGCTGCTCCTGTCCTGGGAGAGCCCCAGGATGTGAAATGCTCCTTGGAGAGCACCAGGGTGTGAGCTGCTCCTGTCCTGGGAGAGCCCCAGGATGTGAAATGCTCCTTGGATTTGAGCTGCTCCTTCTGGGAGATCCCCGGCCCCAGGATGTGAAATGCTCCTTGGAGAGCACCAGGGTGTGAGCTGCTCCTGTCCTGGGAGATCCCCAGGACAGCTGGGACCCTGCTCCTGCAGGAGACAGAGCAGGAAGGAGCAGCAAGGCCGGATAATCCCAGGAGAAAATCATTTTTTGGAGCCAAAGCACCCTCGGGGACAGGCTCAGCACGACCAGGCTGAGGCAGCCAGGCTGGTTTTGGGGGGCAAACGGGAGAAAGAGCCCAGCCGGAGCACGGCCCGGCCCGGGGGTCCCTGCTCCGCTCCAGCTGCCGCGGGAGCAGCGCGATCGTTGCGCTAATGAGCGTAATGAGCGCATGCAAATCAGCCCGGAGCGGAGAAAAGCCGATTTGCATCTCCTTTAAACGCGGCACCGCACGCGTGTCTGGCTGTGTGCGGGACAGAGGCAGCCCCAAACCCAAACTAAAACCGAACCCAAACCCAAAACCGAACCCGAATCCTCCTCCGCGGCGCTGCCTGGGACCGGGAACTGTCCGGAGCCACCTCGCGCTCGCAGGGCGGCTTTGGGGAGCAAAAAGCCGCTTTTGATGTGCAAATGAGCCCCGGCCGCTGTGCCACCAGCCCGGTGCTGGCCCTGCCTCGCATCTGCCACCCCCGGGGCAGGCGGGACCCGCCCGGGCTGTCCCCTCCCCTCCCGTCCCAGCCAGGGGACAGCTGGCGTGTGCCCGTGGCAGGGACCGGCTGCCATCCCTCGGCGAGGGGCTGAGCCCCCGGGCGCTGCTCGTTACTCATTATGGGATCAAAAATCTGAATTTAAAAAAGCAGCCGGCCTGGAAAGGCGCGGCAGCTGCGAGAGCAGCACGGCCCTTTGAGCCGGTACCTGCTGTCCCCCGGCCCCAGCCGCGACACAGCCGTGCCAGGAGCTGTCACGGCACTGCCAGGGACAGACGGACAGCCACAGAGCCTTTGTTCAGCCCGCAGCACCGAGCAGCGCGGGGGAATCGCCGTGCTGAGCCCCAGGGGCTGCGGGGAGAGGAACCAAAGCGGGGTTTGGGGTGTTGGTTCCCGGGTTTCCATTTCTGGGTTTGGTTTGATCATTCCCGGGCTTGGTTTGGGCAGTCCCGGGTTTGGTTTGGGCATTCCCGGGCTTGGCTTGATCATTCCCAGGCTTGGTTTGATCATTCCCGGGCTTGGTTTGGGCAGTCCCGGGTTTGGTTTGGGCATTCCCGGGCTTGGCTTGATCATTCCCAGGCTTGGTTTGATCATTCCCGGGCTTGGTTTGGGCATTCCTGGGTTTGGTTTGATCATTCCCGGGATTGGTTTGATCATTCCCAGGTTTGGTTTGATCATGCCCAGGCTTGGCTTGACCATTCCCGGGCTTGGTTTGGGCAGTCCCCGGTTCCCGGGTTTCCATTTCTGGGTTTGGTTTGATCATTCCCGGGCTTGGTTTGGGCATTCCCCGGTTTGGTTTGGGCATTCCCAGGCTTGGCTTGATCATTCCCAGGTTTGGTTTGATCATTCCCGGGTTTGCCCATTCCTGGGTTTGTTCATTTCCACGTTTTCCATTCCTGGGTTTGATTTGTTCATTCCTGATTTGGGCATTCCCAGGTTTGACTTAGTCATTCCTGGGCTTAGTTTGGTCATTCCTCGGTTTGCCCATTCCCAGCTTTGCTCATTCCCACATTTGCCATTCCTGAGTTTGGTTTGGTCATTCCTGGGTTTGATTTGTTCATTCCTGATTTGGGCATTCCCAGGTTTGACTTAGTCATTCCTGGGCTTGCTATTCCTGGGTTTAGTTTGGTCATTCCTGGGTTTGATTTGGTCATTCCTGGGTTTGCCCATTCCCACATTTGCCATTCCTGAGTTTGGTTTGGTCATTCCTGGTTTACTCATTCCTGCTTTTGCTTAGGCCATGCCTAGGTTTGGTTTGTTCATTTCCAGGTTTGACTTGGGCATTCCTGGCTTTGGTTTGCCCACTGCAGGTTCTCCAGGGC